AGTCCCAGGATTATCACGTGAACATCAATCATATGATTACCTCCAACAGTGTATTTACATCTTATTCATAACAGACATCGAGCACAGAAAAACCCTTGCTCACGCACGTTCCATTTGTATCTCGTTTATCTGCAATCTATCGATCATAAATAGTTTAATTTGACGGCACCTCTCTTCCAACTTCCACTTACATGAATACATCCAACACCAAACAAGGATTGATCAAGAATAGCTGTGAACCAAAATAAAAATATAAATGTTTTCAAAGAAAGGTTCACCACAGCATGGGATGGATAAGACCGGAGTTCCTCACTCAGTAGTAGTGAAGTAGAGGACCCAAACACATGACAAAGTATGCACAGTAAAAGCTTGAAATCCAAATCTTTAATATAAGCTGCTCTGGAACAGGCAGAGCATTGAGAATGGGGCAAATTTTTCAAAATAAAACTGCATTTTCTTTCACAAAATTTCTGGAAATTCTGTTGAAATTAAGCAGGCATACTCAAACACAATTCCCTACTACAATCTATTGGCATACTGAACAATTTTCACTTGAGGTCCATTTACAGTACAAACTTGTTCTGGTGCTATTCCCCTGTAACCTGTAACTTTTATAATAAGCAAATTAAGCTTCCTAATTCATTAAGAAACATTAAATACAGAATGGCAGTCACAGACCAACAATCACACAGCATTGCTGGAGTGTGTATGCTTATTCAGACTGTAATGAATAAAATGTGAATCATTTAGCATTTTAAATGAACAAATTACACAAATTGAACAAAGCAGGAGGGAAAGGAGGTTAAGATACAGTAGATATTATAGCGATTTCTTTCACTCGAATGAGAATGAATAAAGTAGTAAGAATACATTTAAAACACGGAGTGCATAATTTATAGCGGATGAGAAAAACATAAGCAAAAGCACGACGAAGCATGATTTTGCCCAAAAACACAATCAGATTTATAAAATTTAGGAGGCAGTCTTTCCATGGCGTTTGAATAAATCGAAATTACAAAAAAAAAAAAAAATTCTAACAGTTATGTAACATCGCTGGCCCCCAATAACAGAGTGACTGCAGGCCACCTGACTGTCCTCCACAAACTAAAACACAATGTTTCATTCGCATCAGTCTGGAAAAAGAAGAAAAAAAAAAAGTCTTTCATCTTTCAGTCCATTTTCCACACTCTCAGAGCTCTGTGAAAGCTGTTGTCCACTGCCCTTCAGCCGAACCACAGCACAGCCTTCCTCTTAGGCTGATCGACAGATCAAAGCATTTCCTTCCTCGCTCAGTGTCGCAGAATTCTGGTGTGTACATAGGAGGTAATCTGTCCCCCTCTCTCTTTCCCTCCTCACTCTCTGTCACTAGCTACCTCACCGAAGCTGCTGGAGAGGAGAGTGTGACCTGTTTCATAACAGAAATCCATAAGCATGCACAAGATGACACAGGCACTGTCGAGCATCGGGTACAAGAAGCCAGTGTCTCTTCAGTAGCATTCAGACCTCTAACGCCTCCTCATATCTCAAGACAAAAGAGATCACTTGAGGAAAATATCTTTGTGCATGCTTTCCAATCAGGCACACCTATTAACAGATTAAAAACTCACCACATTTTTCTTCTTTTTAGCTATGCTAATGGCATGGCTGTGAGGACACGGATGCCAGTCTGTCCACCACTTTGGTACAGACTAAAATGTCTTAACAGCTGTTGCACTGACTGCCAAGAAACACACTGCAAACATCTATTGTTTGTTAAGGATAACTGTAACTGATTTCTGGTGCTATGAGTTTGAAATTTGTAGGTTTTTATCACAATGTGATTCTCCAAAAATCACGAATGAGTTCATAAGTCATAAGGAATGAATAACATGAAAATAACATATGACCTTTAAGCATTACAGCTTTCGCCATAGTTACACATTATCAGCTCCACTTAGGTATCACTGCCAATGGATTCTTTTGTTTTTTATTTTGGATATTGTACATGATTTGTATTGTGGTTCCTTGCAACATTTGTCATCACTCTTTTGTCCTTCTGTTATCACCACGTCACCTTTTAATTTGGCCAGTCCTTTGGAAGGCATTCCTAGTTAAAGGGAACAATGTAAAGCACTAGCAGAGTGACAGGTTTTGCCAAGAAGAAATAATTAAGTTAGAGAAAGATCCTTTTCTTGGTTTTAATAAATGGGGCCGTGGGGAATTGTTTTACTGTCAACCAAGCTCACACTTGTTATTAGTTAACAAGTGTGAGCTTAAAGTTAAAGTCCAGAACTTTCGCTGCTTGTGGCATTTCATATTCTTCCATCACGCTGATGCTGTATGCAAGGAAGGATAAAAAACAATAAATAATTATGTGTATTACAAAAAGTGTGTGAGTTTGCTAGATGTTTAAGTAAGCTTGACATTTATACCTGGTTCTTAAAAGGCCTCTGGAAGTTTCATTTAATGAAGTCAAAATAGACTGACTGGCATCTGGGATGGTTTGGAAATAGTAAAAGGAAAAGTGGGGGATATTTATAATTCAGAAAGATGTGTGGGGGAGTGAATAAGAGTTGGAGAAAGAGTTAAAAATAAGCATATTTAAAGTTACTTTTTCCAATGACTCAGACTTTAGTTTAGATGTATTGCCATTTGCCTATAAGTTTCTGAAAACCATAAAGGATCAGCATCACTTGATTTAAGGTAAAAATAAGAACAGTTAGTGCACCTAGCCCAGGGGTGAGCAACTCCAGGCCTCGAGGGCCGGTGTCCTGCAGGTTTTAGATGTGTCCTTGATCCAACACAGCTGATTTAAAGGGCTAAATGACACCTCAACATGTCTTGAAGTTCTCCAGAGGCCTGGTAATGAACTAATCATTTGATTCAGGTGTGTTGACTCAGGGTGAGATCTAAAACCTGCAGGACACCGGCACTCGAGGCCTGGAGTTGCCCACCCCTGACCTCACTACTAGCATCATTTCCAGCATGTAGGAACATAAAGGCATGCCATATGGTTGACTCCAACTCCAGGTTACCGTGTCTGATTTGCTGTAACTTAAAATGTATAAGCAAAGTCTCCTTCCTTCACGTTGCTATAAATTAACAATAAACAGATTTTAGTGGGAGAAAGTATTAAATCCCACTCACGGTTACAAATCTGCATCTCACTGCTTAACTTTCCCTTATTCTGGCATGGCACATGATACAAGATCAGCACAAAATGCACAAAAGATAACCTTAAAAACAGACAAGCAAACAAACAAAAAAAAAAGAAAAGCTGTATGAAGAGACACACATGGGATCCATGCAACCGTGTGCATGTGCAAGTAGAGAGATGGAAATGGGGCGCTTTTATTAAATTCTTTTAAATTCTCACTTCCTCATGCATGAGGTTATGTGCAGGTGAAAGGCTGATAAATATTGGATGTGAATCAACTCTGTTTCCCATATACTGGAGGCGAGGTGGATTCTTCTATTAGTCAAAATAAATAAATAAGCTCTGAAATTGAGTGTTTGTGCTTATGTGAGTGAAGAAGGAGGGGAGCATGTGTGGTGGGTGTGTGTGTGGGGGGGGCTACCAGTTGAGTCAGACATGTAACAGTTTGTGCAGTCCCTTTGTAGATGCAAAGGGGGGAAAGAAAAAGAGTGGCAGCCCTGCGGTGGGCACACAGGGTCTCACAGTGGAACACCTGCTCAGGATCTCCTCTGGGTCCATTTTCTAATCGTGCAGGAGGATCACATTCTCATCTTCGTTTTAGGGCAGCACACAGACACAAAAACACACTGCGCTAAAAGCAACATCGCTAAAAGCATGGTTGTGTAATGTAAAGGAGGCACACACACCCTGAGAGAATGACGTAACAACACATCAGCCCACATCTGTGAACGCTATAGTCTGAACAAGTCAAGGTCATTCACGGACTGAATTAAAAACACTGGGCCCTGCTGTGAGGCACCCTCTGAAGCAGAGAGCTGCTTTGTATTCCGAGCTCATGTGGGACTGTAGCGTCCTGTCTGCGCTTGATGCCTGGACACATGAAACACACAGGCACACGTGCTTTCCAGCGAACTGCAGCCTCGCAGATGTGAGGAAGAAGGCAGCATCGTTGATACAGCCTCCTTACTCCCTCTGCGTAGTGCTGCAACAGCTGGATGCGGTTCTGGCTGTTTAAAACACGCACGGCTCTCAGACTGAGTCCCTAATAGGTTTTAACGGGCTGGACTCGTGCCAAACAGTCTGAGTCTTGTTTTTCCAGCCTGCAAAAATTAACGGACGTTTCCCGTGCTGCCCTCTGTGATTGACCCAATGACTGGTCGTGATAGGTGATTAGTGCAACGACAGAATCGATTGCCGTGACTGATTAATCGACAGCTGGCTCAAGGCTGCCGTCTCATCGCTGTACTGTTTTCTCGATTCTCTGCGGCCAGACAGAAAAGCAGCTTTTGGTTAAACTGAAATAACAATCAAATAGCAGGATTCTTTATTTATTTATTTATTTTTTAAATAGCGGCTAATAAGAGGTGGCAAACTGGGAAAATGTATCAGGGACACTCTGAGTCACGGCAGTCCCATTTCGCCTCTGCATGACTTTGGTTATACAATGATGCTTCATTCACAACATCCAGAAACACTCCGACGCGCCAGGAGCAAACATCTTGCAGCAGGTTTACATTACATAAAACACAGATATGGGGAAATTGCATGAAGCCATCCTAATCACGTAATCAATTTCTGATAACAGGTTCAGTTTTGGGAGATCTTTAATCGATATTTGCCCCAGTGCACGTTCCGAGCTAGACGCGGGACAATCAGCAACCACCAAAAGCGCAAAGAGCCTCTCTGCGCATTACAAGGCAGACTGGCTATATCCAGGATAGCGCAGTGGTAATCCATCAAAACGCAAAACTGTCACACCTGGGAACTTCGTGTCGCTCGCACCTGAAGGCTAAAACACCTGCCAAGACTTCCTAAGGGTACTATAACACTGAGATATAAGCCGAGAGCTCCGAGTGTCACTCACCTAACTTTTGCTGCCACAGAAGAAATCGCATCGTTTCTTAAATTCTTCCTCTTGGACACAGCAGTTCCCATGCTGGCATGGAAACGATGCAGGCAGGAAAACAGTTCATTCCAAAGGAAGGAGGAATGCGACGATGAAAACAGTATAAAAATCGCAAGAAAAAATAAAAAAGTTGCAGGGAAATCCGGGAGCAGATAGGTCACGCACGCGTCTGCAGAGCAAAAAAGAAGGAAGTCAGTCTTCTCTCTCTCTCTCTTTCTCTCTCTTACTCTGTCTGTCTCTCTCCGGATATGAGCATGTACGTGGGGTAGCTGCACAGCTGCCAGAGTGAGGCTGAAAATACCCCCCCCCTCTCTCTCTCTCTCCCTCCCCCTTTCTCTCTCTCTCTCTCTCTCATTGATCAAAAAAAATGCAATGGGAGGATTGTTGGGTTGGCGATATCACCATCGTCCTCATCGTGCTCGCAAAGGTGGAGGCGGGGAGCCGTGTATCTGCAACAGTGGTGTCATCCACCTCCACCTCTGCCATTCATCTAATGGTCCTTTTTGGGGACTGTGATCTCTGTATCTTTACTTATTTATTTCCTGGTGTTACATAAACGGTCATTTTGGTGAAAGCCCCATCCACCCCCTCTAACACACACATACACAAACGCTGTAACTGGCTCCTACTCAACCAAAGACAGGATGAGGCACTGCAGCGCTCTGTAAATATTTCTTCAATTAATAATACCACTGGAGCTTTAGCGTGTGCTTTGTTCTATTTCTTCTTATTCTGTTTTTACATTTAGATGATTTTGAAATTCAGCAGTTGAATTGTGTTGACCATTGGACTCGTATATACCCCAAATACTTTATTTATCCCATTTTCGGGAAATTCTTTTGTTACACCAGTTGAAATAATAATAATAGTAAAAATAATAATGATAATATTATCTGCTCCCATGTACACTGCACTTGCCACAAGTCCTGAAGTCCTGGGTGACTGAAAATCTCCATCATTTACTGTAGACATTGATGGATGTCAGCTTGCTTTTTTTTGCATACACTTCACTTACTGTGTTGGTCTTCCAGTTCAACGTGGATGCCATACTACCTCACCATATCAACATGCTTTCCTTCTGAAGACGATCACCATGTCTCTGGTCTCGTCTCTGGTCTCATTCACATTCAGAAGCAGATGATTCCTTCCAGACCACCATCCATCACTAATACTGCAGAATATTATCATATTTCTGACCTGGAGTTACACTGAAAGTCTGAGGTGTACAGGGTGTAGCTTCTCTCATGATGAATGGAAATATTAGATATAGAATGTATAGATTTGATAATGTACCAGCAATTAAGAATCTTACTTTGTTCATATATACTATTGGCCTTTTTGTCATGGTTCTGGGTCAGTTTGACCCAGTATTTTGAGTTGTTATGGTTTGGTTTATTTTTGAATGATAGATTGTTCTTTATGTTTCTCTGGTGCTTTGTTGGGTTTTATGATAAATCTGTGTTTCAGTTATTTTGGTGTGTTTTTGCATTATGGATTGTTTTCTTATTCTCTTGTAGTGCTTGTGGTGATGATGATGATAGATTATTATTAGTTTCTTTTTTCTGTTTATCCGTGTTTAAGGATTTGTTGTTTCATGTATTGTTTGAGTTGCATGTGTTATATTCTGTCTGCCTCTCTGTCTGCCTCTTTGTTTAGTGGTTTCTTGTTTCCTGTTTTATTGTGAAGGTCTGTGTCTCATGTGAGTGTGTTCAGTTCTACTGCTCCCCTGTCTCGTTAGTCCAATTTCTCCCAGCTGTGTCTCCCTCCTGTTTCTCATTCCCCGATTACCTCCCTGTGTATATTAGCCCTGTGTGTTCCTGTGCTCTCTGTTGTGTTGTATCATCAGATTGTGCCTGTGTGTTTCTGGTTCTCAGTGTTTGTTGGTCTGTTCATGTTTTGTGCTTTGCCAGCAATAAAGCTGTGGTTTTCTGTTGAAATTTGGCTTCACGAGTCCTGCGTTTGAATCCTCACAGAGCCCTGAGACTTTTTGTCCATCTTTAAGAGCTGTCTAAAAAACACAATATTCTACGATTAAATGTTAACCTGTGATATAATGACATGGCAATGAAGTCAAGGTTTAAGATGCAAAGAGAGAGAAACATACAAAAATCTGTGTCTCACTGATATGCAGATCAACTGAAAATAGACTTGAACTTAGTCTAATTTGTAAAGCACATAGACATAGAGTAAGGGTTTCTGGACAACAACCTCTGTGGAAAACAACAATCCTGATTCCTTTCTGTGAGATGATTGTAGGATGGCAACAGTTCAGTGCAACATAAATAGGATGACAAACAATATAAGACCAAGAAGCTGGCATTTCCTCCTGAATGCAATTCTTTTCACAGTAGGTTGCAATATTATATGGGAACCAGGAAATATTTAACAGAGTAGAAAATACCTATCTCACACTATGGCACTGTGAGTATTTCTTACAGCAGTTTGTCACAGTGTTTGCACACATGCATGCATAGTGTGGCACATGCATACTGTAAATTACGTAAACAGGCAGAGGCACAGGCACAGGCAGCAGATGAATCACCAAGCAGCCGAACAGCCGATTAGCCTTCAAACATCAACTCAATCAATCTTTCAATCCACGGGCCATTTCGCCAGTAGCTCAGATGTACAGGACGTCCTTGGGCTTTTTATCTATTTGTTGTGGACTTGTCCTGCACACAGCACACGCAACCCCTCTCGGGAACAGCACACAGTAAGACAAAAGGAATGAAAATCGATAAATAAAGGAAAGCACCTCTGGGCTTGTGTGAGCTGCTGTAGGCCATTAAGCAGTAAATAATTCCAGGCAGCTCTGACTCTTGGAGCTTATGTGGGAAGACTGCAAATGACCATGAGAGAAAGAGGAGTGAATGAATGAAAAAAGAACAAACGTATGAGAAACTCATTTGTTCTTTTGCTCCCTTTTCATTCATTGAGGCATTAAGCAGCAAATAATTCCAGGTAGCTCTAATGACAGGCTTGGAGCTCATGTGGGACGACTGCAAATGACCATGAGAGAAAGATGAGTGAACGAATGAATGAAAAGAGAACAAAGGAACAAAGGAGTTTCTCATACCAATTTGTATGAGAAACTCTTTTTTTTCATTCATTTACTCCTCTGTCTCTCATGGTCATTTGCAGTCGTCCCACATAAGCGCCAAGAGTCAGCGCTGCCTGGGATTATTTACTACTTAATGGCCTACAGCACCTCAAGAGGTGCTTTTCTTTATGTTGGCAATCGTGGCTCAAGAGTTGGGCGTTCGCCTTGTAATCGGTAGGTTGCCGGTTCGAGCCCTGGCTTGGGCAGTTTCGGTTGTTGTGTCCTTCGGCAAGACACTTCACCCGTTGCCTACTGGTGGTGGTCAGAGGGCCCGGTGGCGCCAGTGTCCGGCAGCCTCGCCTCTGTCAGTGTGCCCCAGGGTGGCTGTGGCTACAATGTAGCTTGCCATCATGAATGGATGGATGACTGGATATGTAAAGCGCTTTGGGGTCCTTAGGGACCAGTAAAGCGCTATACAAATACAGGCCATTTATTTATCGAAGGAGTGAATGAATGAAAAAAGAACAAACCAGAAAAAAGATGGCAAAGGTGGTAAGAAGACGATGGGGAATGGATGCAGGGATTTTCCAAGGGGTGCAGCTATGAGTCTAACACAGCGGGATACCAAATATGTTGAAAAACAAAAAAGAGAGGGGCGACAAATCAATGATGGGAGGGACACGCAAACCATAAATCCACATCTGTGCAAGATATTAGTGTCTCCTCTGACCCTGACAAGCACTCGCTGTTTGATTGATTGTAAAGCAGATCGATATTTGAGTCTGCAATGTTTACAACAGCAATCAGCCAAGTGGTCCGATAGTCCCTTTGTGTGGGCTGAACGTACGCTCCAGTCTCAAATTAGATTTTTCACAAGTGCACATTTTGTTAAATAGAAACAGCCTGGCAATATCAGCCGTTCAGTTCAGTTGACTGAAATAGATCAATGACTATTATATTGATTGACAAGAAATTTTGCACAGGGTCACAGAAGTTGAATCTTAATGACTTTGCTGATTCTCTCCAGCACTTTCATAAAGTTGATAACTGTGATTGATGGTAAAATATATATAACTACATGGTGTGTACCCATGAAAAACAGCACACACAATTCCACAGCCACAATATTAAAAGAATCTCTCTAATATTGTGAATTTCCTCTCGTTGCTTTGAAAACACCTCTAACTCCTCAAGACATCAACCTCATAAGGTGTCCTGTGTGCCTAAAGCTCCTTTAGGTTTGTGTTCTTCTTTTAGATAGGGTGGGGAGTCCATCGATCAAGCTTGTTTTGTTCCACGTACATCCCAAAGATGGTGGTAATGTCCAAGGAGAACTGCCAAGAGCGTCAAGCTGTTGTCCTTCTCCACCCTTCAAGTGCATTTTGCTGCCATCAGCTAATGATGCACATGCACCTGGCCAGGAGATACAAGAAAAAGTGATGCATGTATTTTGTGATGAGTCACATTTTGAGGCCATATTTTCCATTTCTTCACAGACCAGCTCTGACACATGCAACACTGAGTTATAGTAGCTGTGGTGCAACCCATAGGTCAAAAAATACATTTTTAGAATACCTTGTTTTATATTTAAATACCTCCTATATGATGAAATCCCAGTCAGCTTCAGCTGCTCAACTAGCATTGTCAGCTGGATATACTTATGCCCACTAAAAGTGCTGGGAGTGGCCTCAGAGGGCCATCGGCATTACTGTACGTTCGTTGTCTTGTTACATTCTGGTGGATCACAGAAGCTTTCAAAGGCAATAAAATTCGGTTTCGCTTCATTTTATCATGATCAAAGTTACACAGTCCAAGCGCATTAAACTGCCACATGCTATTAGTCCTTTAACTGAAACTTTATCAGTCCATCTGACAGTGAGGAAATGTGTGGAAAACAGATGATAAAAACACCAACAGGGAAAGCAGTTGGATCATTTACAAAGACTATAGAGCAAGTCTGAATAGTGATAATGAACCGAACTCTGCAGTTTGTTATGCTATACAATGTTCTGTATACTTTGGTGCAAATTTCAAATCAGTATTGTGAAGCATACACCATTTTTGGAGACACTGGGGACATTTTGATGTGAAGGTGGAGGCATGTGTAGACAGCATAGCGTGATGTAGTAAAGCTTAAGAGTGAACTAAAACTCTAAAAGCTAAATGTGCTTTAACTGTCTAAGACCCAGGGGGAAAAAGTGTGTTGATATTTTGACCCTTTTAGATAACTGTAGG